ACTCATTCACTCACTCATGCATTCACTCACTCACTCACTCATTCACGCATTCACTCACTCACTCATGCATTCACTCACTCACTAACTCATGCATTCACTCACTCACTCACTGACCCACTGTCAAGTCCATTCCAACTCATCCGGACCTTACAGGGTGCCAAGTCTATAGATAAGAGAATCCTGGTGGCACAGTGGTCTAAGCTTTGGGCTATTAACGACAAGGTCAGCAGTTCCAAACCCTCGGCTGCTCCGTGGGAGAAAGGCAGTGAGTCCTACTTCCGAAGAGTTAGCGGGCATCAGGGGTAGTTCTATCTGGCCTTAAGGAGTCGCCCTGAGTTAGAATTGACCAGATGACAGGGAGTTTGGTGTCTGACTTACCGAGTCACTGTGGATCAGAATTCAGCACTTTGTATTGCTAGTATATTAATATACTGTGATATTACTCATGAAGAATAACAATGCCAAGTACTAAACACCAAGGCCAAAAGGCCCCTCACTAGAGACCTGCCACTCCCCACGTGACCTTGGGCACACTCTTGCTGAGTTTGTTTCCCCCATAAAGGGAAGGGGTGTCCAAGATGGCTTATACACCAGGTGGCCTGGCTGTAGGGAGGGGGCGCTCAGGGGAATCAGCTGGTAGCATCCCTTCCCATCCAAGAGGGGCTCAAAATCCATCCGCCTGCCCTGACAAACACCCCACCCCCACCAAACACCCACAGAAGCGATGGCAGAATGAGAAGTTCCGGATGGACGCCCAGGATGACTACGAGGATGAAAATCTGTATGAGGTGAGTGGAGGGCAGGGGCTCTGGGGAGCGGGAGGTGGGCATCCCTCCAGGTCCAGCTGGGCCTGGGACCCTGCCTTCAGGCACTGACAGCACTGCTGTGTGTCCACCCACCGCCCAGGGCCTGAACATCGAGGACTGCTCCATGTACGAGGACATCTCCCGGGGGCTTCAGGGCACCTACCAGGACGTGGGCAGCCTCCAGGTGGGAGATGTGCAGCTAGAGAAGCCATGACCCAGACCCGCTGTCCTGCATGCTGGCTCCACCCCTCGTGTCTCTGGCTGGACCTTTGCCATCTCCTCCCTCCTGGGCCTCCTGCTCTGACCGCACACCTTGATACCCCATCCTCCCGGGCCTCCTTTCCAGGATCCTCTTTCTGGTCCCTCCCTGGGGCTCCCTCCCTGGCTGGGTAATGAGCCCTTAATCGCTGCTGCTTCGAGGGGAGCTGATTGTAGCAGCCTCGTTAGTGCCCACCCCTCCCCACTGCTCTGTCATGGCCACTTAGTGATAATAAATCCTTTCCAACTGCAGACCTTGGCAAGCGTCGTGGATCTCTTAGCGAATGGGCCCTCCCTTCCCAGAGGCCCAGGAATCCAGGCCCCCAGTACCCCCACCTCCCCATCCTCCCTCAGACTCAGGATTCTGGGTCTGAGCTCTCCCTGCCCTTCCTTTCCCCCAACCTGGTAACTAGGCTTGGCCATCCCTGAAAGCAGCAGGAAGTGTCTTGGGGTGGTGGGTCTCACCCCAATTCAAAAGAGTAGCTTGGCTTCCTCCAGGACCCTGGGGTCCCTAGGCCCTGGGCCTAAGCAGGAGTGGGCTGTGTTTCGTCTGTGTTGGGGAGAGGTGGCAGGGGGAAGGGTACCCTATTGATGAGTGATCAAGTCGAGGCTGTAGTCTCCCTTGAGCAAAGTGGCACATTTTCTGCAGAGAGGGGTGGCTGGCTGGTTTGAAAGGGACCTTCCGGTTATCGCTGAGCGCTGAACCACTGCGTCACTAGGCTCCTCCAGCAGGGGACTATCCTGTCTACTCCCCCCCCACTCTCGACCACACCTTTTCTCCCATGAGTGTGGGTGGACATGGACAAGGGGTGACTTGGAGTGTCTGGTGGCCACTCTTCCCCCTCCCAGGATGTCTCTAGAGCCACTGCCCCCCCTCCCAGGAGTGAGGTGACACCCACCTGCCAAGGCTGGGGAAGATGGGGGCCCGGTTTCTCCCAGGCTCTGACCTGCCCTGGTCACGACTTACACCTTACACCTAGGCTGTAATCACAGGCCACGACAGAGAGGCACGCAGATTCAAAGTCGGGTGGGTGTGGGTAGGGGCGGCAGGGCACAGAGTGACAAAGTGCTTGAGCCCAGGAGAGTAAGGGCTAGAGGGGAACAAGACAATGAGGTGATTTGGATCCGAAGGAGACCAAGCCACGGGGAGGTGGGGGCGGTTAGAGAGCTGGGGAGGGTGACCAGGACAGGGACACCTCAAGTTAGGGATGGGTACAGCACAGGAACGAAGGGCCCCAGATACACAGGTTTGGAGAGAAGGGCCCAGGAGACACGGGAAGCTGAGATGGTGGCCCCCCCAGATCCCGGGATGGGAGGAGAAGGATTCTGAGGGCGCAAGGGAGAGGGGAAGGCGGCGCAGAGTTAGCGCCAGACTCTCATCCAGAAAGGGAGACAGGCAGGGCGGAAAGAGGAGCTTCGGAAGGCAGCCAGAGAGCCGCTGGCACTCGGGGCAGACCCTGAATGGGGACAGGACACCGGAGGGGGGTAGCTGCGGGAGGACCGGCGCAGAGCCACACGCGCTCCGCGC